ACAACAAAATCTTGGGTAAATTATATTTTCAAAAACTGAATTTCAGTTTCATCTCACTTCTAATTGTGCTAATTAAGTTATCGGACCTCCATTGCAATGTGATCTATCATCACCCCATTGTTAGAAAATTTGAGTGAAAGTAGAATGTGTCATTATTATTTTTTTTCTCTGATGTCTCCCAAACGTGCTCACATGTTCCTCGCCTGATCACTTTCCATCTAGTTGGCAGACCATAAGGAATCAAAATAAAATTTGAATGTGTAAGGTGTAAACCATTTAACTTTTCTTTTTCTTTTTCTTCTCAATTAAGCAAAAGATAGAGACACAATGACGTAGCTGACCACACGTCACATGTACGTAACCCTCACCATGGAACTCATTAATTTGCTATCTAAAAAAAATGAAAACACAAAAACAAAAGTTAAAAATCAATAAAACCGCATCAAGCCAATTCAAAACTAAAGAAATGTTTCATCAAGCTGCTACACTTGCTTAGGCACTTGAATCATGAGCTAAACAGAGCTATAAAACTAACAAAACAACGAAAGCAAAAACATTTGCTAACCCCAACCCACCGATTCTACTTATATCGCTAATTTACTTTTTTACAGTTTTTATTTTATTACATTACTAAAATATAAAATTGTGATTCTCATTACACCAATTACACTGCTAAAACTAACTCTAAAGTAAAAACTCTTCAAAACCCTTTCAATTTTGTCTTTTTACACCAATAGTTTTTGGTAATACAATGTTAAAGAATTTGAATTACTCCAATACCGTGTTACCAGACAAACTAATTTTTTTCAGTCATTTATTGTTGTTTGATTGGATGATTTTACTTTACTTCAACAAGAAATTAGTTGGAGTCCATTTGTAAAGTGTCTGCTCGATAATACATTACTATACAAATTGGATTACTCCAATGTCATGTTGTCGAACTAAAATAAATTTGTCCAGCCACTTGTCGCTTTGCGTGCATTGTAAATTATCTTCATTGTTGTTGCATTAAAGATATCATTTCGTTTCAATGTAATAAATATTTCTTTTAGTCGTACCATACTTTTTAACTTGTCAACTAACAATAATGTTTCCTCATCAGATAATCTACTAGCAAATAAGTCATTCAAGATGTTCAACAGCCAAATGATTGTACTTGCATTGTTGCAATGAATAGAAGTATAATCCTTCTAAGCAAAAAAAATTTACAAAAATATAAAAAATAAAACTGAAAATGTAAGGTAATGAGTAACCGAACAAATTAAAAACATTCGGTCTTAAGTCACTGAAAATGTATCTTTTATTCGCCACTGGATTACTGGACATATATTTTTTTGTTCGGCAATGTGATTCCGAATTATTTTATTTTATTCGATTTTGACACACCGAACAAAAGTCGAAGAATTTCCTCAAAAAATGAAACAAAAATCTACCAAACAAATTAAAAAAAACTCATCATTCCACTTTTTTGATGATTCTTCACCACTATTTATTCATCTATTGCTTTCTTATATGATCAAAACACAATTCTCACTTTTTGAAAAAAAAAAAAAATATGTAGTAGAGAAGAAAAAATGAGAATGGAAGAAAAGTAATAGGAATTGAACTGCAATGGGTGTAAAAAGATAATAAAATATATTTAATTTTAATGTTTTGTCTTTAAAAATAATTTCACACATGGATAAAATTAAAAAATAAAAAATAATAATAAAAAAACATTTTGTATGAAAAATATAAAGAGGTAAACTAGTAGTGGTGTCCTCAAAAGAGATGCTTCTCTTCTATCAAATCTTGACTCTAACCCATGGAAGCTACATTCTGAAATAGGATTGAAGACATCATGAAGAATATTAAGGTTCGGCTATGTTCATTTCGTTTTTTTCTTTCTTTAATTTTTCTTCCATGAATCACTCTTTAAATTCAAATTTTTAAAATAATTTAAAAAATACTAGAAATAACCCGTCGTCAAACACGTAGCTAGAAAATTTGAAATAATGGATGTTTCAATCATAACTTTAAAATAATGGCTGTTTCAATCATATTCCACAAAGACTCTTTTCCATGTGTTCATAGCAATGTGGCTTGAATGATTCAATTGTTAATGATGAATTAGTTGATTGTGATGTTTTGCCAATTGCATACCAGTGTATTCCCATGTGATGTGCTATTGGATAATGGCTTTTGGGTCTTGCTTTGGCGTAGATTATAAGCTCAAGTCCCCTTTTATTTTGAGTTTAATTTTGTTCACACACTATTAAAATATGAATAAAATACAAATTTTAATTAATTCAAAATAATAAAATTTACAATTTTAAGTAGTGTACACTTTTTAAATGAGAAGCTCACAATTTTAGACCAATCAAATTCTGCGAAAGTGTGAACCAATATTTTGTTTTTTACTTTCATCTTTGTTGGTATCTTCTTGATGGTTTCCCCGGTAGTGCTTAAGTTAATGATGCATACATTTAAAAGTTTCTCACCTATTCTTTACTTTCCAGAAAATAAAAAGACCATAGAAAACCAAGACTTCACTCTTTTTTTTTTTTTTTAGGTTTTTAGACCACCAAGACTTACTGTTCCCAGCAACAGGATCAACAACTTGGTCAACTGATGAGGTTTTACAAGTTTTACTTCAGTTAAAAATAACAAAAGTTACCGTCCATTCAAGAAGAGTAGTGCAAGCCGAAGGGCTTTTACCTCGATGGCAACACCCAATCACTCTCACACGAGAGGTGGGGGGTTAAAACCTAGCCTTACAAATGGTTAGACATATACCTAATATTCTGGTCCTCGCAAAAACAGTTATGCAAGAATTTTAGAAGCAATCAAAGTATATTATATATTAAAGACATACCTCACAACTTACAAGGAATGTGGATGACCTTGATTCTTTTGCATTCCTGGCTGCTTAAGAATTAAGGCTGTAATGGGTTCAAGGCATGAATATATTATAGGATTAGGGTTCTTAAAGGCAGAAGATTTTTAGGGTTTGAAGATTGGAAAGAACTAAAAATTAATTTAGTTAAACGTGACAGCTTAAGGGCAATGATAGAGACCACTAAAAGTGGAGCTCTAAAGCAACCACTAATGATGTGGCATCTACTTGAAAAAAAAAAAAAAAACAACAACAATGATAGAGACCACTAATTTTGGAGCTCTAAAAAGATCACTAATGACATGGCACTCAATAAAAAAAGAAAAAAAAATACAACACCAAGGCCAAAACATCAAATCATTCATGGTGGGGCCTACTGCCACATCATTAGTGGTAGCACTAATTAGTGCTCTCACTCATTTTTCAAAAAAAAAAGACACAACAACATTGTGGCAGTGGATCCACCCACTGCCACATCATTAGTGGTGGCACTAATTAGTGCTCCCACTCATTTTTCATTTTTTACTATCATAACCAGTCTACTCTAAACCTAAATAAAGCCTTTTATAATAACCTAACAATGTAACCCTTGGTAAAAATTCATGGGTGACCACTACAGCATATGTCTAGCAATTTAAAATATTACAAAAATACTGCTAACTTAATCCACTTTTCATTCATTTTTCCCTTCACTCTTCATTTTTTCTTTCTACAACTTAGTCCTCAGATCTAAGATTCAAACACAGTCTTGGGGTTTTAAAAGGAAAAAGAGCTAAAATTAGTTCGTACAGAAGTGATAAAGCTTGCCAAACTTTCAATACACAGCCTATTCAAGAGTAAAACAAATGAGTAATTTAAGGTTTTGATAATCAAATTGAATGCCAATAGGTAGAGGACGGGGTTAGTATTGACTTAAGCTTGACTTGTTAGGGTTTTGGTGCTATAAAGGAGGTATAAACAAAGGCTGTGACACTAACAAAGAAGAAGAGAGGATAGTTTTTACACTCACAACAGCCAATCAAATTCACACAAACAAACTCTCAAATTATTGTAAAATCAACTCTATTGAAGAATGATAGGCTACTAGACTGACTTAATCCTACAAAGACTTTACATTAAACAACAGCCAATCAAATTCACACAAACAAACTCTCAAATTATTGTAAAATCAACTCTATTGAAGAATGAAAAGCTACTAGACTGACAATCCTACGAAGACTTAACGTTAGGAGTCCTTGACTATTTGATTACCGTGTCTTCTGGACCTAGATAAAGCCGTGTACAATGATAACCCCATAACGTTAACTTAATCCATAAGATGATCCATGGGCAATTACACACCATATGTTTAGCAATTTAAAAAGTAACCAAAATACTGCTAACTACTAGAGTCCTAAAATCTCTTCAGCAATGTTCTATCATATAGAATGCATAACATAAGTCTCGTATGGACCCTAAACATGATTACAAGAAGCACTAGATGTGCTCCATCCGAAATTCTCGATTTAAAAATAAATAGATAATAATTTTTGTATGTTCATCATCATTTTCTTCCAAGAACAAAAATTTATGCTGTTAACAGGAGATTCTCATCATTAGAAGAGAGATATTACTATATATCAATCAAAAAGGTTAAGCAAGAGTACTAAGCCAACATTAGTAAGGCTTGAGGGTTCATTCTCAGGATTTTACAAGTTGGGTGCAACCATGGTCACCAGTGTCCCTGGGACCTATCAAAAGAGGAAAAAAAAATTTGAAGGAATAACATTCACGCATAAAAACAGAGAGTCAAATGAGATGCTGATATATACTTAACATAAAGATAAAGAGTGAAGGGCTACTATTGAAGATGCTAACACAACCAAAAAAAAATTTTTTTTTTTTGATAAATCATTGGTTTATCAATAAGATTTCATCATTATCTATATATATTAATGTCAAGCTCAAAATAAAGAAGGAAATTAAAGTTAGGGACCATTAAAAAGGTAAGGAAGAGAAATTTCAAAGCATGAGAAAGTATACGATTGAAAAAATCAACGTAATGAGAGGGAGATTTTCTTGGAAGTCCTTTATATAGCATAAGAAACTCAGTTTCACATCATCTTCCCATCCAATCTACTTAGCCATGACCAGCTTTTTTCTTTGTTTGCCCTTGCACCCTGCATTGCCCTGGCTACTGGTATTCCTCCTGGGGGTCAGTAATGCTTTTGAAGGACCTGAAGAATACAAGACATACATCATCCACATGGACCGTTCACAGAAACCAGCAACTTTCTTAAGCCATGAGTCATGGCACAAGTTTACTCTAAAATCGTTATCTTCATTTCCCGCTGACCATGAAGATAAGTTACTCTATTCATATGACCATGTCATGCATGGTTTCAGTGCCAGGCTCACACCCTCTCAACTATCTGAACTCGAAAAGTCCCCAGCTCACCGTGCAACATATGAGGAGTCCTTTGGTAAGCTCTTCACAACCCACACCACCAAGTTCCTTGGCCTAAAAAGTAGAACTGGCATATGGCCTGCTTCTTCTTTTGGCAAAGATGTTATCGTAGGAATAATAGACACTGGAATTTGGCCAGAAAGCGAGAGCTTTCAAGACAAAGGGATGTCACCAGTGCCAGAGAGATGGAAGGGCAAGTGTGAAAATGGCACAGATTTTGGCCCTTCAGCCTGCAACAGGAAGCTCATTGGTGCTCAGTCTTTTAGCAAAGGACTCCATGCTTCAGGCAAAAAAATTTCCAAGGAAGATGACTTCAAATCAGCAAGAGACTACACTGGTCATGGAACCCACACCTCGTCCACAGCAGCGGGTACCCATGTACTTGGTACTAGTCACTTTGGGTACGCTAAAGGCACAGCCAGAGGGATAGCACCAAATGCACGTATCGCTATGTACAAGGTCCTCTGGTCAACAAGCACAGAGGAGACTGCAGCTACTGATGTGCTCGCCGGCATGGATCGAGCTATTGCTGATGGGGTGGACATCATGTCTTTGTCTCTGGGATTTACACAGACATCTTATTTCAAGGATGTCATAGCTATGGCATCTCTTTCAGCAATAGAGAAAGGAATTGTTGTTATCTGTGCGGCTGGAAATGATGGAGGTCCAAACACAACATACAATGGAGCACCTTGGATCACGACGGTAGGTGCTGGCACTGTTGACCGAAGTTTTGCAGGAAAAATGCACCTTGGAAATGGAGCAACTGTGGAAGGAACATCATATTTCCCAGAAAGCATATATATTACTGACACACCTTTGTATTATGGGGAACGTAATCGAAGCAAAGCAACATGCAACCTTTATGCTTTGGATCCAAAAGAGGTTGACAGTAAGGTAGTCCTATATAATAGCGGCAACATTAGTGTCATTAAACAAATGATAGAAGTTTTTAGGGCAGGTGGATATGCAGGCATCTTCATGGCGGACCATGTGGCTTTAGGTCCAGACGAGTACTTCATTCCTAGCCTGGTTTTAAAGACTAGTTCCGGGACTTCAGTCAGAGAGTATGCAACCAAGGCAAAAAAAGCGATGGTGAAGAGCATGAGGTTCATGATGACAAGCTTGGGCACAAAACCAGCTCCTCTGGTTGCCCGTTTTTCTTCTAGAGGACCTGACCCAATTAGCCCAGGTGTTCTAAAACCAGATATTCTCGCTCCTGGCGCAGATATTCTGGCAGCAGTTGCACCCAATAAACCTGTCGGTACAATAGGTAACTACGATTTGGTCACAGATTATGCACTCTACTCAGGAACATCAATGGCAGCACCCCATGTTGCAGGAGTTGCAGCATTACTGAAGGCTGTCCACCAAGATTGGAGCCCGGCAGCCATAAGATCAGCCATCATGACCACCGCAAATATAGTTGACAATACAGGCACAACCTTCAAAGACCAATGGACTGGACTCCATGCCACACCTCTAGCTTCGGGGCAGGCCACATCAATCCCAATAAAGCCATGGATCCAGGCCTGATATATGACATGGGTTTCCAAGATTATATTGAGTTCCTGTGTCGCCTCGGCTATAGTAAGAAGCAGATGAGCGCTGTCCTCAGAAGAAATGAGTGGAGTTGCAGCCAAAATCCCATAGACCTCAATTATCCTTCTTTTGTCGCCATATTTCCCAAAGGAGCCAGCTCCATAAAAGAAAAGAACTTCAGCAGGGTTGTGACAAATGTGGGAGATGGTACAGCCACTTATCAAGCTGTTTTAGTTGTTCCTACTGGAATGAGGATCAAAGTAGAGCCCAATACTCTCACATTCACAAGCAAATTTCAGAAGCAAAGTTTTGCTATGAGTGTAGAGGTCAATAAAGATGCAACAAACATAACAAGTGGCTATCTCAAATGGTTTGATCAGGCTAACCACATAGTATCAAGCCCCATTGTAGCCATTTCTGGCTGACATCCTCAGCATAGGTATTCTACCCAACCAAAATATGTTAAACCAATATTCTGATATGAATCTCAATAAAGGATCAAAACATTATGCAATTATAAATTAGAAGTGTGAAACAAGGCCAGGTTGTTTTATATACACCTTAAATTAAACAAGCTAAAATTTTCCAATAAAATGTCGATATAAGCTCTTAGGAGATGCGGTTGTATGGCATATAATATATGCAGCTTATCAAAAATTATGAATTGAAAGTTTGTCAATGATTCATTTATTGCAACTAATTGTATACCTTAAGGTGTGGTGAGGCAAAAGTTGAGGGATTCAAGCTGATGGAGCAGTGGCGACCCCTCTAGTCGCAATATAACTTTACTAACAAACTAAAATCCTACAACCGCATAACTTAGTCAACCCATAACTTAGTCATCTGTACAACAAGATTTAAGTTCTGTTAGGTATCCATTTGCAGAGTGGGTCAACTTGGTTGGTCCAGATTATTGCCTACTTGTACTTTCATAATCGTACAATTTTATCACCCTCCCTTTTTACCTCTTACTCAACAAATTTATGCACCATGCTTTAGTAGCTCATCAGTTGAATAAGCTCCTCCAGAAACTACAACAGAACATGATTCATGGGAAAAAGAAAATACTGATATTAGTGCGTACTTCTTGGCATGTAACTACCAAAAGCTTGCTCACTCTATTATGCAAGTAAATAATGCAAAGCAGCTAACAAAACACCACCCAACCATTTGATAATCCAAAAACAGAGGAATGCTTTCAGATAATCCAAAAGCACTTATGTTTTTGGTGCAGCTAATAATGCTAAAAGTTGATAATCTAAAAACAGAAGTTAAAAGCACGACTCTCATCTCAGCTTTCAAATGATCATGGTTTTTTTTTTTTTTTTTTTAAGCTTATTTAAGTTAGGGCAAATTACACAAATAGTCTCTATAGTTTGGGACTTGTGTCACTTTGATCCTAGACTTTTCAATTGTGATACATTTGACTCTGAATTTTGAATCTTGTTCCAAATAAGGACAATTGAAGATATCATTAGATTTTTCAAGGGTAAAATTGTCAATTTGATAAAATATAAACTAATTTGACAAAAATAAATGTCAAACAAATATTTTTGAATTTTTAAAAATTATTTTTACCTACTAAAAATAAAATTATGTAAAATTGATAAATCTTCTAACATTTATTTATTTTTTTTACCAAATTAATTTTTATTATGTGTTTAGATAATGATCATGTAAAATTAATTTTAAAAAATTAATCATGTAATTTTTATTAATTTTGCATAATTTTATCATTAGTGGATAAAAATAATTTTTAAAAAATAAAAAATATTTTTTTGACATTTATTTTTGTCAAATTAATTTATATTTTATCAAATTGACAATTTTACCCTTGAAAAATCTAATGATATTTTCAATTGTCCTTATTTGGAACAAGATTCAAAATTTATGGTCAAATGTGTCACAATTGAAAAGTCAAGGACCAAAGTGACACAAGTCCCAAACTATAGGGACTATTAGTATAATTAACCCTTTAAGTTATTTTTGCCTAATACGTTGTACGCCGAAGTTGTACTAAACAGTCTTGAGCAAGGTAACACTATGTTTGGGAACCTACGGGAGAAAAGAAAAGAAATGATTACTTAAGTTATAAAAGAAAAGAAAAGAAAAAAAAATGATTGTGATTTCTCTTCTTTTTGTTTGGATAAATAAGAAATAAAAGAGAAGAAATGATTGTGATTTCTCTCATTCTTGTTTGGTTGGATTTCATTAAGGGAAAAGAAAAGAAATTATTTTATGTTATATTACCAAAATAATCTTTTTATATTTTCAATCATTTTATTTCTTTTATTTTTATAGGGACAAAATTGGTATTAGGAAAATAGTGATTTCTTTTCTCTCCCAATCTCTCCACTTTTGGAAAGATTGAAAATGAGACTTATAAGATAAATGAGAGTTTCTCTCAATTTCTCTCAATTTCTTTTCATTTCTCTCCACTTAAATTATCCAAACAAGTAAGAGAAATACATAAATTTTCATTTCTTTCCTTTTCCCTCCAAATCACTCAATCCAAACATAGCCTAATAGAAAAAGAAAAAATGTTAACTGAGGCTAAGAATTGGATAATTAGTCAAGATATGCAAGTATGTTACCTAATAATAAATGTTATATAACTTGCTAGATCCAATTGCCACCGCCACCATCCATCCGCAAACCCTAACCCCCTGCCTCCACCGCCGCCACCGTGAGACTGCGCAATGACAGAGGAGAGATCACGATGAGAGAGAGATCGCTGGCATGAGATCGTGGTGGATCGATCTCACGATCGCGCGATGAGATCTGGTTCCAGATCTGGTTTTGCAAAGGTTGGGGGTGGATGGGCAATGGGTTGGCGGCAGTGGCGGAGGGGAATTGGTGGGAAGGGCGAGGACTGGCGGAGCGGTGGCCGGAGGAATCTGGTAGGGGTGGCCGCCGGTTAGAGAGGGTGGGGTTGAAAGAGGAAGAGAGAGGGCAGATGGAAAGAATTAAGGGCATGTTTGGTTGGACGTGATTAGCCGTGAGGATTATTAATAAAGGGATTAATAATATAAGAATTATTAGTGAAAAAATTAAATAAAAGTTTGTTGCTTTGATAATAGTATAGCAAATGATTATCAAAGAGATTGTTAAATTATTTTTATATAAAATAAATAAATAAATAAATTATTTTTATATTAAAAAAATTAAAATAAATATTAAAATAAAAAAGTACCCTAGTAAAAAAAATTAAATTAAAAAATTAAATTATTATATAAAATAGATCAATCTCTTTATTATTTTCATAATCTGATTCAAAATCTAACCAAGTTAATCTCTCTACTGAGGGGTTTACTAAATTCCTTGGACTATCAATTTGTCCTCCCATTTTTATCAAATATGATGTGGATGGAATCCACAGTCATAATCGTCCAATTTGACCACTCAAGTTGTGAAACAAACATGGCCAAAGGGTAAATATGTAAATTGATTCATTGTTTTATAATTATTTTTTAAAATTTTTCTGTATTATGTAATTATTTTGAAAAAAATTATAGGTCTTAAATTTTCTACCAAACAAATAATCAAATGTCTTACATGAGTGTGGGGTTTCACAAAATTACAAACCGTACACTCATGTAAGACATTTGATGTAAAGCCCCAAAAAAAAATATAAAAATGTGATGGTGGAAAATAGAATATATTATGATAGATTATGGGTGGTATATATTATATCATGATGATGTTTCAGTGGGGCGGTAAGTGGGTTATTTATTTTATTTAGGGATATCATAAAGAGAGAAGTAGTGTACAGGAGGGAAGGAAGCATACACATGGGCCGTCTATTTTACTCTTTCGATGGAGAATGATTTATTAAAGAGAGATACTTTTTAGAGAGAGGGTTTTGTGAACTGAAATCAATTTTCAACACGTGGGCTCGCGTATGACGTTTGGATACGATGCTCAAAAATTGATTCCGCATGTTAATTCAAATTACATTTTGAAAATCTGTTTGGTAGCAAATATCTCCCTTTCAACGTTTCTGCCTTCTTCATCATATCCCAACTTTCACGTGAACCTCATCTACACCTGTCCTTCAGATTCATCATGGGTGGCTTCTTAGTGTTCAGATTCATCACGGATGAGTTTCAGAGAGTTTCAGAAGTCAGACTCATTTTATAAATAATGAGTCTACCCAACCCGCTCCGTACTCGTATCATATTTCACAAATCAACTGAGTTATGATTTGTGCGTTGCGGACGATTCTTATTACGGGCAACCAAACAATGACGACTGCGAGGTGAAATTACTCACAAAATTATTTACATATTTTGTTATAGGGAAATTATTTGACAAATTCATTCTAATTTTTTTTTTCAGGTCAAATTTATCAAATTTATTGTCGAATTCGACGAGCAAACAGTGGCTCGTTCAATCAGTATACACATTCCATCCAACTCCCACTAATCTGGTAAATAAATCATTTATCCTTCATCTGTTATCTGAAAATGATTTCAAACGAGTCGATCAACTGTTTCAACTTTTTGTTCTTCAAGAATAGTGTAAATCATTCATCTGTTATGTATAAATGATTTCGGAGAAGTTGAAATCAGTTCGTAAATGGTTTATCAGAATTTGGTATGTCGTATTTTCCATTTCAGATCGGTTGTTATTTGAAATTATGAACGGTTTGAACCTTTCTTCTATCAAAGGTATAGTGGCAGTGCCTGGGACACCCGACCGGTCGTCCCCCGGGTCATCCGGCCGGTCGACCACCCGGTCTTCCCATCTCTCTTCCGGTTTTGTCTTCCACTTTCCATTCCTGAATGGTCTGAACCACCGGTCCTCCGTGAACTGTTTGAACCCACCGGCCATTTTACTATTTTTTTTCCTTAATTTCAATTAACAACCAATACTGATTTGTTTTGAATTCAAATCAATATAACACAATGTTAAACACATTGTTAAACATTGAATGTTAACTGAATGTTAACATTGTGTTTTTTTTAATTCAGATTTTTTTTTTTTTACATTGTTAACAACCAATACTAATTTTTTTTATCTGATTGTTAATTAAAAAAAAATTACTGATTTCTTTCCTACTATTTAAACACAATGTTAACTGAATTTTGAGGCTTTGAGAGCAAAGACATCCCAATGTTAATTGAATTTTGAGGCATTGAGAGCAAAGACACCCCTAGCGCTGACACACAAGGTTAAAACCAGGGATAGCTACTGTTACATTACCATTTAGACATATATATGTCTATATTTATTTATTTATTTATATGGTAAATAAGATTTATAGAAAATATAGTAAAGTTTTTAATTTTTATAGCATTTCATTTTTTATTAATAATTTATCATTCATATGAATATGAATTAAAAAAAATGATAATGTTATCTTTTTTACATTAAAATATTTTTTATTTTGATCTTATTATAAGATAAGTCAATATACTTATGTTAAAATTAATTATATTTTTTCATAATTTTTCAACAGATTAGAATATTTATGTATGTATTTTAATTTTTTATTATTTTGAGTCATATTTTAATTTATAGAAATAAATAAATAAAATGTTCATATCATACTTTTTTTTTGATCGAGTTCATACCATACTTTACTCTCCTTTTCTTTCGTATGTCAATTCCTACAATTATATGAGCTCTTCGTGGACAATAATAGAGTGCATTTCTTTTACACATCTGTACTAAATTACAAAAAATGTAATAAATGAAAAATAAATTGATAATATTTTGTAAGATTTATATTATGATTTGTATTTTAAAATATGAAAGTTAGTATATTTATCCCTTATTTATTAATATGTATTTTCAAAAGTTGTTGACTTTAACAAAATGTTAGAAAAAAATTAAAAACGTATTTTATAAATGAATTGATAGAAAAATCAATTGGCAGAAAAAATTGACATCGGTTTATTTTAAAATGAAAAAATTATTTCGAAATCACAATTATTCAAAAAAATTACTAAAAAAAAATAATTGACAAAAAAAATCAATGTTTAATTTTAGTATTTTAAAAATAGTTTGGTTATTATTGTTGATAAAAAATATAGATATCGATATCGATATATGAGTTGTGTGTTTGATGATAAATTATTGGTTGAATTAAGTTTTGAAAATTACTTTCAAAACACATCACCAAACAAATTTTCACCTTTCACATGTCACATCAAACTTCCAAAACATAATTCAAAATACATCTTCAAAACTCTATTTAAAAATCATAAACAAACAAATTTTCTACACTCAAATCATAATTCTACAACCCATAAACTCAAAATACAATTCATACTCTCAAATCACATTTACAAAACACAACCAAACGCAGGCTAAGAGAGTTATGCTGTGGTCGCGGCTGATTCTGTAGCAGAGCTGAGAAGACCCAAGGCAGTGGAAATATATATAGAGGGAGGAAGCAATCGCTCTACGTTAGATCTGAGATTCTAGAGAGAGAGTATGAGCAGCAGCAACAATGGTGGCGGGTTACAATCAATCCCTGTGGCGTCGAGGAAGATGGTTCAAAGCCTGAAGGAGATTGTAAACTGTCCAAAGCTTGAAGGAGATTGTAAACTGTCCCGAGCTTGAGATCTACGCCATGCTCAAAGATTTTAATATGGACCCTAATGAGGTTGTTAACGGCCTTCTTTCTCAAGAATAAAGAGATAACAGAATCCAGGTTTCGTCACTTTAGTAACTCTTCAAGTCGTGGGGGTAGGGGTGGCACTGATCGTTATATTGGGCAGGCTGGCTCAACCCAATTCAACTCTTTTGAGTCTGGCGTTTTCTTGTTAAACCTTCATACAAGAAGGAAAATGTTAAAGACAGCGAGGAAGAAGCCACTGGACTATTACTGAAGAAGGGGCTTCAAGTCGATGATGAATTGGAATTGGAATTGAAGCAGACGTCAGTGGGTCGATTGGGGGATGAAAGTAGCTCTCACAAATTGGGTTTTGATTGGACTTGGCCGCCATGAAAGAACGTTCGTCTAAGATATAAAATCATTGGTACAACCTCACTGGCCTTTGTTATTTGTAACATGGATAAGGTGAACTTGAGTATTGCAATAATTCCAATGTCACGCCAATTTGGATGGAGTTCATCTGTTGCTGGATTGGTGCAGTCATCTTTCTTTTGGGGTTACACATTAAGCCAGTTGCCTGGGGGATGGCTTGCAAAGACATTTGGTGGGAGAAAAGTTCTTGAGATTGGAATCTTGATCTGGTCACTAGTCTTGTTGGATTTATGCCTGGACTAGTTTTGTCAAGGATTTTGGAACTCTCTCAGTTTGTTGAATATGGATGCGAGGGTAGTATATTGCTGCTTCAAACCTGCTTGGATCATATAAATTTTCGTGAAGGAGACGTGCACAACATGCATCTTAAGCCAAATTTATTAGCTGCAATATTTAGATATTTACTGCAATGGCCAAATTTTAGTACTGTGTTTTGTGAATCAGTGAGGACCATGATTATAAGTGAACAACTTCTCACGGATTTTTGTGATGCATTAAACTTGACGGTGTCAACATTCGTTTGGTTGTGTTGGGTTGTGCATCTTTTCACTTTGTGGCGTTGGATGTTGAAGGACGTTGCTATACTTGGTGAGAGCAACATTTTGATCGGTGGAGATCAAAATCCGGCAAAATCGAAAATTTAGATTTTTGCTTGTTTTCTCTTCAAGCTTGAGGTAGGGATGTTTTTTTAGTTATATATATATATATATATTTGCAAGATCTAGATAATTTTCGAAATCATCATTTGATTAGTTTTTTTTGAAAATTAATTGTTGATTCAAGAGGATGAGCGATTTTGAGAGTGGGTTTACTTCATTTTCCTTAAAAAATAGAATTTAAGGGTTTTTGAACTATGTTGATGAAAGAAAGATATTTTTGGTAAGATCTTCTCAAATATTTAAAAATGAATGGTTTTTGGTGAGAAAACCTAGAAATTAGGGATTTTTAAGAAAGATGTTGAAAATCTTTAGAATATGTTGTTATATTTATTTTGTATGCCAAAAGAAATGATGTTTGAAAATTGTTTATTTATTACATATAAATGATGTTTTCATGGAATAAGAGAATTGATGAAGTTTTGGAAATTGTTGTTTAAAAATGTTGATACAGTCTTGAAATGACTAAGTTGTTGAAAATGTTTGAAATGTGGGAACTATGTTATCCCTTGGATGAATTGAAATAAAAATATTTATTCATCTTGTGAAATTACATTGGCATATCAATTCATTTGATAATGAAGAGCCTTGAAATTTGATTTGAAAACTTTGCATTTAGAAATGAATGTTGAGAAACAAGTTTTCATGAAATAGTTTTGGGGTAAATACGGTGGTAAGTCTTGACAGGTGGTGTAGAGGATAGGTGTCGAGCCTTCCAGTTAATACTGGTAAAAATGACAAATTGGTAGTACTTGTATAATCTACTTGCAGACATCAGCCTAGGAATTGAAATGTGGTGTAGATGATAGGTGTCGAGCCTTCCCGTTAATACCGGTAAAAATGACAAATTGGTAGTACTGGTATAGTCTACTTGCACCAGAGTTGTATTTACCGCCCCTTGAAACTAAATTGTTAATTTTTGAACAGTTGAAGTTGCATAACATCATTGAGCATGATAGTTTTCTAAAGATGAAGATATAGTTTATTTTCAAAAGGCATGGCATGACATGCGCAATTATCTCTTGAGACTTGTATAAAATGTATATATTTTGTTAAGGATTTTTCTATTGGGCTTTATGCTCACCCTATGGGATTCTTGTGCAAGAAAAGGTGTGATGATTTCGCTTAATTGAAGGCGTGGAAGTGTGTGTAAAGAGCATAATGTGCTCATTTGCTGTGACTCTGATTGTAAGCCAAGGGCTTTATATGTGTGGGTTTGAATAACCGTTTTACGTAACCAGGCTCAAGCCTTGGAAATTTGTAAACCCTTGGGGTATTTGTTGTTTAATTAATTGCCGCTGGATAAATCGTATTATCGCATGAAGACTATTTACATCATGTAATGTAAGCATGAGGATTTATTATCAGTTTTACTTTAAAAGGCCATGACTATTGTATACCATTTGGGCATGTAAATTGGGGCGTTACATTTGATATTTTTTGGCAGAAAATTTAATATTCTTAGCAATGCCTAATTATTTTTTCAGTAATGTTACCTCCACTAAATTTGGTGTCGTCTAAATTTGTTCATGTTGATCATCTGAATTATAAGGTGATTACCATGATAGATAAGGGTAAACCCAAGTTGTCCAACTAACACAAATTTATCCAATTCAAGCGACAACAAATTTAATAAATAAATCATTTCTTATTTTTTATTCCTACTCGTTTTGCAATTATTCCTTCAATTTTAACTTTTTAATCAACATTTGACAAATCGCTTCTTATGGTTTCTAAAATAATATTTTTTAATGTCTAATGGTATTTTCCTTTCACTTATAGTGGTATTCGGAAAAGTCTAGACGCCCGCTCTGTTCCACTTAAAAATTTTCGGGTAGATAATTTTATCATGGAAATTAATTTATGTGTTGTAGGGTTTACATAGGATTCATGTAAAGTGTGATAGAAATTAATTTTTGAGTAATTTCTAAATTAATAAAGATAAATTTATAATATTATTCATAGTACTCCCTCCGTCCTACAATAATAATATTTCTAGAGATTCTAATTTATTTAGTGAGACATATAATTATTGCTTTGAAGTCAAATCAAAATATATTAATTTAAGATGAGAGCTCCGTCCTACAATAATAATCTTTCTAGAGATTCTAATTTATTTAGTGAGACATAATTATTGCTTTGAAGTCAAATCAAAATATATTAATTTAAGATGAGAGCTGTTGGTTTGAAATAAAATAAAATAAAACCTTACAAATCTTCAAAGGCATTTATTATAGCAAGGAGAAATATACACTGACATATTTTTTATTTTATTGTTGAAAATTCACATGTGTTGAAATTTAATGTATATTTATTGATTATTATATTTTTGATGTTTTTAAAAATTAAACTAGTCATATTTCTTTTGACATTGATATTTATTAGAGTATAGCTACTTATATTTTATTATTCACCGATAAATATAAGTCATCTTCTATATATTTTGGGTCAACTTGTGCTCACCTCCAATCTCATAACTTTGAAATTAATTGGGGAGACTCAAATTAATTAGTTGATTTATCAACAAATCAATAAATAATATGTAATAATACATATCATTGCAAGTAAATTTAACAGTAATATTTTAAGGGTTTTATAATTTTTTAATTGGTTTGCCTAAATGAGAACAATATTGATGTTATTATTATTATTATTTGCAAAAATAAAAAAAAATAAAAAAACTTATACTTTGACCCTTATAACAAAATAAATCATGAATTTTTAATTTTATCAATTTCAATGCTAATATTTTGATTTATTTTCAATCTCAATCATTCGCTCATTTTTGTTAGGTAGAATTAATGAAAAAAATATATTTTAATTATTAAACTCAATGTAAATATATCTAAAATATCATTTTTGCATCAACTTACATAATGAAAATAAGTCAATGATTTAGATTGAAAGTAAATTAAAAAAATTTAATTTAAATTAATAAAATAAAAAACTCACAACTTATTTTGTTACAAAGGTCAAATTCTGAATTTTTTTCAAAATAAATTTTCCTCGGTTTTTTTGTTGTTGTTGTTGTTAATTTTGCTTAAAGTAATGTAAAGAAATCAACAACAGCACACACCAACAAACAATATATATGTATAAATAATAATAATAAAAAAACAAACAAACAAAAATATTAAAACAAAAAAAAAATAAAAGAAAGGAAGAGAAAAACCAAACGCACCAAAGTATAAAAAAAAAAAACCAAACGCACCAAAGTATATCGTTTTGCCATGCAACACTCCTTGTTGTACGACAGGGACCCTTTTCTCCTCCGGACTGTTTGATCATTAAAATGAGAAAAGGGTCCTTGTTGTACAGCAAGGAGTGCTGCACGGCAAAACGATATATTTTGGTGCGTTTGGTTTTTCTTTTCCTTTTATTTATTTATTTTGTTTTTTTATTTTTTATTTTTTATGTTGGTGTGTGTGCTGTTGTTGGTTTCTTTACATTACTTTAAACAAATTAACCAAAAAAAAAAAATGAGGAAAATTTATTTTGAAAAAATTTCAGAATTTGACCTTTGTAACAAAATAAATTGTGAGTTTTTTACTTTATCAATTTAAATTTAAATTTTTGAATTTATTTTCAATTTAAATCATTGACCTAATTTCGTTATGTAAGTTGATGCAGAAATGATATTTTAGATATTTTATATATATTGATATTGAGTTTAATAACTAAAATATATTTTTTTCATTAATTTTACCTAACAAAAATGTGCAAATGATTGAGATTGAAAATAAATCAAAATATTAGCATTTGAATTGATAAAATTAAAAATTCATGATTTATTTTGTTATAAGGGTCAAAGTATAATTTTTTTAATTTTTTCAAATAATAATAACAATAATAATAATAATAATAATAATAATAATAATATTGTTATTCTTCTCATTTACGAAAACCAATTATAAAATTATAAAATCCTTAAAATATTATTGTTAAATTTACTTGCAATGATGTGTATTATTACATATTATTTATTGATTGGTTGATAAATCAACTAATTGATTTGAGTCTCTCCAATTAATTTCAAAGTTGTGAGATTTGATTTGAGTCTCTCCAATTAATTTCAAAGTTGTGAGATTTGAGGTAAGCACAAGTTGACCCAAATACTAAATATATAGCAGATGACTTATATTTATCTGTGAATAATAAAATATAAGTAGCTATACTCTAATAAATATCAATGTCAAAAGAATTATAACTAGTTTGATTTTTAAAAACATCAAAAACATAATAACCAATAAATATACATTAAATTTCAACTCATGTGAATTTTTAAAAATAAAATAAAAAATATGTCAGTATATATCGGTCCTTACTACAATAAATGCCTTTGAAAATTTGTAAGGTTTTGTTTTATTTTATTTTGTTTCCAACCAACACGTCTCTCTCTCTCTCTCTCTCTCTCTCTCTCTCTCTCTCTCTCTCTCTTTTTTAAAACTCTCTTTTACAAAAAAAAAAATAATTCAAAACTGTGCCATTTGTATGCACAGCAGGCACCCCTTGTCCATTAATTTATCATAGTACTCCTTTTAGTTTCATTATTAAATATATTTATAATTATTTTAAAATAATAGTTTTGAAATTTTTTAGAATTTTATGTGTTGACTTTTCAGAATGGATAAATATTTTAAGATATCTAAAAAGGAAAAGATGAAAAAATAATATGGAACGGAGAGAGTATATTTCATTTGGTATAGTGTAATAATATTATCATTCAACAATACATGAGAAAATCAAGAAAAATGCAGTATACTTGAATTTGATTGTCAAAATATAACATTTTGACTATTATAACATAATATTTATGAGTTTGATAATCACCTTAAAGCTTCTGTGCTTGTTTGATAATATTTATATTTATAATTTTTTTTATATGTTCATTTAAAATAAAAATAAAAAAATAAAAATAGTAATAAATTTTATTTGGTGTCTATTTTCATTTTTAAAAACTAAAAACAGTTTTAAAAATTTATTATATTTTATAAAACACCAACAGTTGGGACACGCGATACATGTGTAATTCAAAATAACTAAAAATAAAATGAAATATTTACTATTAATACGTGACATCTAAGCCATAGGGCCCCGTTTATTTTCAGAGGTAGAATGGAAGGGATTATTAGTGAGGGGACTAATAGTGAGGGGATTAAGAAAATTGTGTTTGTTTGATAACCAATGGACTAGTAATAGTTCATGTTTGTTTTGAGAGATAGGGATAGGATTAACCACGTGAAATTCCACAAATACCCTTTTTGTATTATTATCAAATTTAGACTTATACCAACTAAAGAATAAATAAATTTTTACTCAATGTTATTCTTCTTCTTTTTTTTTTTTTAAATTATTAAAGAATCCAATTATCAAAAAAAAATTAGTCAATGTTATTTATTTATTTATTAATATTAATGAATCCAACTATCAATAAATTTGTAGTCAATGTTATTCTCTCTTCTTCTTTTTTGATTTTTTTTTGATTTTATTTATTTTTTTTATGTTTTTATTCTTTTTTGTAAATATTAAATAATCCAACTATCAATGTTATTCTCTCTTCTTTTTTTATTTTTTCATTCTTTTTTGTAATTGTGTATGATGACAACTTTGAAAGATTGTCAGAGTGTCACCACCAGCAATCACATGAGATATATCAACATGAAGTGTAATATTCCCATACATAAAATGATAGGTAAATGACAATATAGTTAAATTTCTTTGATAACGCCAAAAGTGAACAGAGCATACATTGAACGGCATCAATCTAAACCCATCTAGCACGCCTAGTTTTGTTAGTAGTATCCATTGCAAGTGTGGACGCAAACAAAATGCATATAACTACAACATACCAAAAAAAGAAAAAAAAAACATGACAACTCATCTATAACGGTAGATGAAAAGAACAAAATATTCACATAGCCAAGCACATCATGATTCTGGCACACATTTCTTTGTTAAAGCCTGGCTTGACGAGCAACCCATAACCCTCTAAGGTCGCGTTTCATCATAAATATACTTTGGGAGTCCAAAGAATGGTGCCTCATGGAATACTTGGCATAGTGCGGATACCTAAGCATCCAAAAACCCATCTACATTGCCTATAGATAGCACCGCTACTTGGCACAAATTCATTTCCTTACATGCTCGGGAATAAGACGTTGACGCAATTCAGGCGATGCCCTAGCCAGCTCTGTAAGAAATTTTGGCACGATCAACAAGAGAACCATCAAACCTCCCCCCTCCCCCCCCAAAAAAAAAGAAGGAAAATTTAAGTTGACTCACCTTGAGGCGTGAAATTGAAGAGAGAAGGGACCGGTCTCCCATTTGGCAAGCTTGTGGTTGGTTCCCTCAAATCATCAAAGAAAGGATGTGCACATGCCTCCGACTGAAAAGGTCATAGATTTTGATTAAAAGACAACTTTCAAAGCAACATTTTACAATTTCTTTGACAAGGTCAGAAAATTATGTATGATTCAAAACAAAATAACAATATAATCTATTGATTACAAAGACAAATCATAAGACAATATTAACTTATCAATTTGGCTAATGTCTTATTAAAAATATAATATAATAATGTTATATTAGGATATTAGAGAATGACATTACTTGTACATTTCATTTTTCTATGAAAAAAATTCGATGCAACGTTGATTGACAATGAGCTTTTTAATAAATGTCCACATAAAATGATTTTTCTATTTCATATATAATAAGCAAAGATCAAATTTCTTACAACAGTGCAACGTAGATTTGGTGAATATTGGAGCAGCCTCGACACAAGATCCACAGCTTCGGCTAGCATTCGCTTGTTAAAAACCTAGAAAATGTAAGTTCATTAGATTTGCCTATCATGAAAGTAGTGCGCTTATTATCAATGAAGATGAGTCAAAGATGCATCCTCCATGTGGAATTTCTAACAAACCTTGTGCCATGGGTGTGCTTTGATCTGAGGAAATTTGAACTCCATGTAATTTGGATTCATGCATCTAATTTCCTCTCTGGTTGGTGTCCCCAATATTTGTAACAGAACCACCCAAGAAAATAATAATAATAATAAGAGAATGCACCAAACAAATATTAGAATATAAAAGTTTATAAAAATAAATTACTAGAACCTTAATTATTTCCACTAGCTGATCAACCCCACTTTCTCCAGGAAACAGAGGCTGCACATCAAACCATATTCAATACGAATCAGGACCAGCCCCATAACATGTTCCGAAATAAATGAAGTTTAGCAACAACAAATTAATCAGCAAATTTCATAGATATATATATATACTGCTTAGTCCCAAACCCTATAAATTAATCAACAAATTTCAAAATTTCAAAAAAGCACAGTAAAATAAAAATCGTTATAAAGCTACCAAAAAAAAAAAAATGCGAGGCCAATGCAGAAGAAACATATCTTAAAGAATGATATGCAAATGGGTATAATTGAAGAAGCATGGTAGGCATTCATCTAAATGCATACACCACATTCAAAAAGTGTGAGAATAAATAATCAACAAATAGTAATCAAAACCAATTATTACTAAGCAAATATTTCATTAACGGGTGCCGTAGTATACTGCATACAAGTCCCTATCCTGATTTCTTGCAAGGTAAAGTGGCATCTTTCACATCAATTTAAAGCTTAATAAAGGTGCTGACTGTCAATGTTCCAGAAAACAATCTCAAATATACACTCACCTGGCCTAGAAGTAGCTCGGCTAAAACACAACCAGCAGACCACATGTCAATTGCAGTTGTGTACTCTGTAGCCCCAAATATCAATTCTGGAGCCCTATAATACCGTGGGCAAATATATGATATGTTGGGTTCACCAGGCACCTACAACGGGAAAATAAATTTCAAACATTGCCACACATTAAAAAACATGAAATCCCATGAATAGAGACCTACCAACATCTTTGCACTCCCAAAATCGCACAACTTTAGCTGATGACTGTGGGGATTAACCTGTAACAAGCATCAAAACCACAGAAATAAGTTATAGTATCTAACACACATGAGTTCCAAACCTTTTCCTGATGGAAAAGAAGTTCCAACACCCTAGCACCAACAGCATAGCCTGCATCCTCCAACATGCCCCAATCCAACAACATTAAAGAGCACCCACACTGGAATGTATGATCCAATACAGATCAATTACGCAGTAACTTAATTAAAATATAACCATCAGCTACTAAACAAGTTTGTTCTAGAATAAACCAATGTATGGAACTCCTTCAAATTATTAACATTAAACAGATGCAAGTGGTCTCCACAATTCAACTTAATTATATAAAAACATGGGACACCCACAGTGGTCAGAATCACAAGAAGCAAAAGTAGCATATTATGGCTCTTTCAAAAGTAGCAGAGAGTAGCATACAATACAAAATAGTGCAGCCCAACACAGGAGCAACATGTAAACAGATTGGAAGCTACAAGAACTAGTCTTAACCAGTCCAACATAGGACCAACATATAAACAGATTGGAAGCTACAAAAACCAGTCTTAAACAGCCCAACACATGAGCAAACAAAAAGAAACCCATCATACGAAAAGACCATCATACAGTAGATGCCACATTCAAATATGACCTTCCAATAGCAAAGAAACCCATTTCATATTGTCATTCTCATCTAAACTGAAGAACAAGCCAACTTTGTCTTCATCTTTCACTATCATAGATGCTGCCATCAATCTTTGGGTATTACTCATTGGCAACTTTAGAAGTTCTGCACTAACCAACCTCCTTTGTTGGGATAGGTCATATGAATATCGTATCCTATGAGCAATCTCCACCATCGTAGTATTAGTATTCTCAATGAATGATCCAAGATTTTTTGCTATCTCTGATAGTTCACTAGGAATCCCCTCAGCAGGCCGAGCCCTTTTTTTCCCAATTTTAGTAGAGTCAGCATGGTTGGAAACATTACCTGCAGTAGACATTGAGTAGTCTATTTCACCCATGTTCATACTAAACTGTTCAACAAGAGACTATTCTCCTTCTTCTGTAGTTGCATTTGTATCCTTCTTTTCCATGGCTGCAACTGCATTAATAGGATCCTCAACCAGTTCACTAGTCGCCCTATCCTTTCCAAATAGAATAAGCCAATCTTCATAGAACAGGAATGGCCTGTTTTGCATCCCTTTTGCATCTGGTACCCTCTACACAAGTGATTATCCAATTATTAAAAAGAATAGATTGATTTATAAGTAAAGAGTCATGCAAATAACAACATAAAAATGAGATTTACCCTGACATAGTTCTGCCATACGTCGTCACTATCAACAAGCACCATCTTTTGTTCATCATCCCAACCGAAACCACTTATCTTTAACATATCTTGAAAAGTGCTATATTGTTTCCTCCACAACTTAATCTTCGAGTCGATGTGAGGAGTGGCTCGAAGATTAGTTCCAGGAAATGCTCTTAAGATCTTCTTCTCGCATTCATTGTAGAAGCCTGCCCTAAACTGATTATTATCAAGCTTCCACCTGGGATTACTTGCGGTTATATCCTTCATGGTTATAATGAGGAAGAGTTCCTCATGGTGATTCCAAAACCTTCGAGGTTTCCCCTTCTTACGAGAACTAGTGGTACCAGTGTCATCCATACCTATATATATATGTATGTCATAAGTTTAAATCATAACACACATGCCAATCATAAATAACAAATCAACTTACACAATATTTGTTACAAATACCACACAAAAACTAAACAAATATGGTTTGAATTACATGCCATAATAAACTCTCACTATTACATAAGAATCATCATACAACACTAATTTATTGACCTCTGCTTGCTTGCCATTCATTAAACATTTGGGTTGCCAAGGCAGTTCTCCATTCACTCCATCGATTAGATGCTTCAACAACATCAATCATTTCATCTCCTAATTCAGTAGCTGGAGGAGGAGGATTCATTTCCTCATTCTCATCATCATCAAGATCCATAGGCATTTCACATTGTATGAGATTGTGGAGAAGGCAACATGCAGTGATAATACGAAATTGAGTCTTAATTGGAAAGTAAGAATAAGTCCTCAATATTGCCCACCTCATTTTAAGTAGCCCAAAACACCTCTCAATGATGTTACAAGCAGAAGAGTGCCTCATGTTAAAAAACTCTTGTGGAGTTGTTGGGGCACCCGCTTCTCTCCATGTGGAAAGATGGTAACGTTGTCCTCTATATGGTGCAAGAAAACCCTCCCCATTTGTGTAACCTGCATCTACGAGATAGTAGTGGCCTGTAATTATGTAACATGGTTTCATTATGTATGTGACAAAATAATTGTTTAATATAAATATAGTGTACTTATATATATAACAATATATAATTTTTATACTAGTTGGGACTTTTAACCCATTGGGTCTACTGACAACATCTCTAAGTACCCTAGAGTCAGAAGCAGATCCTCCCCATCCAGGCAAGACATATATGAATTGCATGTCTTGGGAGCACACACCTAATACATTTGTGGCAATTTCTCCCTTTCTTGTTCTATACCTTGGTTTGTCTATTGCAGGGGCAAGAACCTTAACATAGGTTCCATCTAATGCACCAAGACAATTCTAAAAATAAAATAATATTATAAAATTAATATAGGCAATACAAAAATATAATATGTTAATCAAGCAAAGTTGTAAATATATTGTACCTGAAAACAACTCCACCTATTATTTGTACAATTAGCAGTTACTGGTTCAAGCTTCTTAAGGAGGAGACCATGGAGGCGCAGCACAGCCTTGAGAACATTATTGAAGTGCTTACTAATTGTTTGACCACTCCGCATGAAATTAAATTTAATTTTGCTGTTCTTAGTATGATGTGCAAGCACATTCAAAACACATTGCTACTTGCTCCTCTAAGACGACATACTTTGAATCAGACAATCCAACACTTCGCACCAACCCACATAAAAGCATAAAAGTACACCTATTCATCCGAAGTTGGTCATGACAATTTATGTCACTATCGTTGACCAATCTATTCAAATGGTCAATTTGATTTCCATAGGGGCGAGGTGATCTAGGTAGTTGCAACCTAATTTCTTTCTTCTTGAATGCAGTATGTAAAATCACTATATACATAGCACATGCATAATTAATGGATGAAACAACATGTTGCAGGGCTACAAATTCCTCTATCAGGTCTTTTCTCCCTTTCTTAGTGGCATAATTATCCATCTACAAAAAATGAATAAACAATAAGCGGCTAAAATCAGCACAAAAAGTAAAACAAATAATAGAAACTGTTGACTGCCATAAAACAAAGTGTAAAGGCCAAAAGGCCAAATAGAGAAAAAGATTCAATGAAAAACAAAGTAAAGAACTATGCAAAAGATTACCAAGTGGAGCATTGTTCAGATTTTTTCATACCACATGTTAACAATGTGAAAGTAGTATTAATTTCCTACAAAAAAGAAATAGAAAAGACATCAAAGAAAATGAAAGATATTTATTTTCAATGGAAATCCAACTTAAACATTTAGTTATAGTACACAATCTTTGACTACAACAAATGCCATTAAAACACTAGTGCAGAAATATATGAAAAAGCACTTGAATAGGTAAATATGTTCCCTGTTTTTACTCAAGAGAAAAAGGGGCAGTTTCTTACAAGAATGGTCCTTTTTCTTACAAGAGTGATACAAACCCATTATTTGAATATTCCATTCTCATACTCTTTTATTAGTTGTATTAGAATGAGGAAAACATGGTATGTATGTAGTTCATTTCATGAGAAACACATTCCATAATGTTAAAGTTTGAAATTATGTAATTAAATTTGAAACTTTCAATGACTATTAATTTAATCATTTGTCACTGACCTCTTTCCTTGAGAAGGCAATAACCTAATTGCGCTCTTGTCAATTCAGGATTTTAGGGTGTTGGCAGGGGATAGAGGGTGTTGGCAGGGCAATAACTAATTGTGAGTACATTGACATTTACCATACTTGATACATATTCATATCCATACTCATTGGCAGACTTGGATATGTTATATAAGATGACAAAATGCAACTTCCCTTTCCTAACATATTTTGTTAATCAGAGCAACTTTCTCATTATACAAGTACCCACTAAAGAGGTGGAGGTATATGAATTTTTGCTGATGTTGTCACAGATTAAATTTTTTTAAGACAATAATATTAATGGAAAAGGATCTAGACAACTTTTTTTCTTCTCTCTTTTGATAAGTCATCTAGACAGCCAGTTAATTAAAAAGGATTTCCATATTTTCATCGTAAAAAATTTGGCCAGTTGGATGTCTGAACCAATCTTTTGATGGGTTTGATTATTATTGTGCAGATAAGAAAATCTATTGCAATTAACAATTGAGTATTTGCTCATTATTTGTTTGCTGTGCTTTTTCCATTAAAATAAAATTGCACATTGCCAGCAATTACCAGCAATCAAAACCCCAAATGTGTAAAAAATATATCATTCAAACCCCAAAGGAAAAAAAAAAAAAACCCAATTTGAAGCAGATGCAGCAGAACCCTGTAACGCCCTCAAAATAATAACATTAAACCCATCAAATAAGACATGCGTTGACGTATAAACAAACCACCTTCTATTATTCATTAGCGTCTCATTACATAAGTATTACAAATTACCAATACAGCAGATGCTTCACTCAATCTGAAGATTGGAAATCTGAAGATGAGAGAAAGCTAGACACACTGTGAAGAAGAGAAAGGAGCTTATTTAAAAACAAACAACTGGTAAAAACAAGAAAAAATAATCAGCAAGAGATGTACTTTATGCAGCATCCAGTTCTTGTAGCAAGAACTTGGTGTCTTTGATCATTGTGTCGGATCAATTGGTGATAAGAAGGGTTGCACTTATATTTTTTACGATATTTGACATCACGCCTCGCAAGCCAGCACTCATAGGAAGTAGCATTATGTACCAACAATCCCTCCCTCACTATGGTGTTTCTGTAACTCGAACTCATGACAACTTAACTTTGATACCACTTGTCGGACTAAATTCCACCATCTCTCCTAAAACCAATTGGTGATAGGAAGGGTTTCACTCATGTTTTTTATGGCATTCAACATCACACTCCGTTAGTCTATTTTTAAAGCAGTCCCAGAGAATGACATTGTGTACCAACACAGTGCTCTATGTGGAAAGCTTTGTGGTGATCCTTAAATTATCAGATCCACTATGGTTTGCTAGATCATGATTGGTTCAGGTACAACAATGGTAACCTTTGGCCATCTAGCCTATGAAAAAGCAAAGGAAAAATTTGGAAGTTATTATTCAAAAATCAAAACCAATTATATTAGTCAAATGGAAGGCTCATTTGTTTTTTCAGACAATTTATAAATAAATAAAAAAAAAAGAGAAGGGACAAATATGCTGATAATGCTAACACAAGCAACCATATGAACCACAGAAATGTCAAAGCATGAGAAAATATGTGCACAAGTAAATTATTGAAAATCAAAGGAAAAATTTGGAAATTATTCCAAACAAAATCAATAAAAACGAAAAAAGAAAATGATGGACTAATATATTGATCAAGTTAACACAAGCAAGCAACTGAACAACTAGAATGTCAAAGCATGCAAATATTTGTGGATAGGTTCTTGAGATCAAAAATCAAAAGAGAAACAATATAAAATTAAAAGGGAGATATCTTTGTAGTACTATAAATGGTTGCTCAAATTCTCATGTTTGGTTATGAATTCAAAACGTAATTCCACAGGTGTGTTTCAGTATGATGTTTGGTTGTGTGTTTGGAATCAACTTTCAAAACCTCTACAGAGAGCTCTGTATCACAGCTGCGTTTTTTGTGAAAATTTTGGCCAGGGGAAGACCGCCCGGACGTCCTTGGGGTCATCCGCCCGGACGTCCTTGGGGACATCCACCCGGATGTCCTCCGCTGTACAGAATATATATATATATTTTTTTTGCAATTGATTTATATAATTGGGAAAAATATTTTCTGAAATTTTTTTAATTTTTAATGTGCTTTAAAATAATTTTGAGTTGTATGTTTAGTTATGAGTTGTAAATTTTTGTATCACATATTAAATATCACATCAACAATTCCCTACTCAAATCAAACATCTTTTCCAAAACTATTTTCAAAACTCTTTACCAAACAAATTTTCTACACTCAAATCATAATTCTACAACACACAAACTCAAAATACAACTCATACTCTCAAATCACATTTACAAAACACAACCAAACGCAACCAGTTTCTCATCAGCTTGCCTGCCAATCTCCTTAGCTAGCCATGACCAACTCTTCTCACATTCTGATTTTGAACCTTGCATTGCCATGGCTAATGATGTTATTGCTACTAGGGGTGGTCAGCAATGCATCTTCAGAACCCGAACAATACTAGACATGCATCATCCACATGGACCATTCACAGAAACCCGCATCCTTCTCAACCCACTATTCATGGCACCGTTCCACCCTAAACTCGTTGTCTTCTTCTCCACTTGACAGTGAAGAAAAGCTACTCTACACATACAACCATGTCATGCATGGGTTCAGTGCCAGGCTCACACCCTCTCAACTCTCTAAACTTGAGAAATCCCCAGCACATCATGCCACCTATCACGAGTCCTTTGGCAAACTCTTAACGACCCGCACCCCAAAGTTCCTTGGCCTAAAGCACAAAACTGGAGTCTGGCCAGCTTCATCGTATGGCAAAGGCGTGATAATAGGAATAATCGACATCGGAGATAGCGAGAGTTTTGCTGACACGGGGATGCCACCGGTGCTAGAGAGATGGAAGGGCAAGTGTGAAAATGGCACAGCTTTTAGCCCTTCTGATTGCAATAGAAAGCTCATTGGAGCTCAATCTTTTAGCAGAGGACTCCTCGCGTCAGGTAAACAAATCTCCAAGGAAGACGACTTTTAATCAGCCAGAGACTACCACAGTCATGGGACTTACATGGCATCCATAGTAGTAGGTTCTAACGCACTTGGTGCTAGTCACTTTGCGTATGCTAGAGGCACAGCCATAGGAGTAGCACTGAGTGCACATGTTGCCATGTACAAAGTCCGCTGGTCGACAAGCACAGCTGAGATTTTAGCCAACAACGTGCTCGCTGGCATGGACCAAGCAATTGCCGACGGGGTAGATGTCATGCCTTTGTCTCTAGCCTTACCCAAAACACTTTATTTTGAGAATGTCATAGCCATTACATCGCTTTCAGCAATAGAGAAAGGGATTGTCGTCGTCTGTGCTGCTGGAAATGAAGGGGCTCGGAACACAACATTCAATGGAGCACCATGGATCATCACAGTAGGTGCTGGTACTATTGACCGAAACAATGTCGCATCACTAAACCTAGAAAATGGGTTAACCATTGAAGGCACGCCATACTTCCTAGCGAGTGTTTACATTACCAACACATCTATTTATTATGGGAAAGGCAACCTAAACAGAGCAATATGCAATGTTTCAGCTTTAGATTCAGAAGAGATTGCTGGAAAGGCAGTCCTATGTGATAAGAGCCTTAACATTGACATATTTGGAAAGATGAAGGAAGTTAAAAGGGCAGGTGGATACGCAGGAATATTCGTGGGGGACATGGTGACTTTAGATCCACAGTACTACATTCCTGCCCAGTTTTCCATTCCTAGCCTGGTTCTGCATACTAATTATGGGGCTTCAGTAAAGGAGTATGTAACCAGTGAAAATAACGTAAAGGTAAAGAGCATGAAGTTCGTGATAACGACTTTGGGGACAAAACCTGCACCTCAAGTAGCCTTTTTTTCTTCAAGAGGACCTGATCCAATTAACCCAGGTGTTCTAAAACCAGATATCCTCGCTCCATGGCAAGATGTTCTGGCAATAGTTGTACCCAAGAAGGCATATTTCAAAGTAGGCAACTATAATATGGTCACTGATTATGGATTCATCTCAGGGACATCAATGGCAACTCCCCATGTTATAGGAGTTACAACATTACTAAAGGTCATCCACCATGATTGGAGCCCTGCAGCCATCCGATTAGCTATCATGACCACTGCAAATACACTTGACAATACAGACACAGCCTTGAAAGACCAATTAACTGGACTGCGTGCCACACCTCTGGACTTCGGGGCTGGCCGTGTCAATCTGAACAAAGCAATGAATCTTGGGTTGATCTACAACGTGGGTTTCCAAGATTACGTTGACTTCTTGTGCCGTCTTGGCTACAATAAGAAGCAAATGAGTGATGTCCTTAGAAGAAATCAGTGGAGTTGCAACCAAAATCCCAACGATCTCAATTACCCTTCTTTCATCGCTATATTTCCCAAAAACGCCAGCTCCATAACAACAGAAACCTTCAACAGCGTTATGACGAACATGGGAGATGATACAGCCATTTATTGAGCAGTAGTAGTTGTTCCTTGTGGAATAAGTGTCAAAGTAGAGCCCAATACTCTCACATTCACCAGCAAATATCAGAAGCAAAGTTTTGTCGTAAGCATAGAGATTGATAAAGTTGCACCCAACATACAGTACGATTATCTCAAATGGATTGATCAGCATGAACACATAGTATCAAGCCCCATTGTAGCCATTTCTGGCTGAGACATGCTCACGAAAGTCTCTGAACAGATTTTCTGCCTTGACACTTTTCTCTACAAATAATTGAGGAACTATGCCTATATTGAACGTACAACGTCAAGTAACTTGTTTAGCACAACAAAGATTGAAATAAGCTATTAGTAAAAGCTACTAAAGTTTATTTATCAAAAAAAAAAAAACTATTAAAGTTTATTATTCTTTGTAGTGTCTATGTGAATGTGGGTTGCATGCACATAAGTATGCAGTTTCCAAAAATAAAAAATTGGAAGTGTGTTGGTCTTCACTCAGAAGAACTAGTATCTCCAATATCCGAAAGCTGAATATCAGCTAGAGTGAAATAACAAACAACTATACACAAACTGAACATTGGTGCAGAAAATCTATAGCTTACTCATCTGCACACCAACTTTTGAATCAAAGACCACAAACCAGTGTGCTTAATTCTGTTAGCATCACTTCCAAAGTAGACCCGCTTGGTTGGCCCTAACCATGCAATAAAGTTGTTTCCGCATATAAAAATTAAGAGTTAGAAGTTCAACTTACGATTTTATTAACATAGGGTTTTATGTCCTTCCCTTTCTCGCCCCTTGTAAATAAACTTGTGTTAGGCTTAATTTGCTCATCTATTCAGTTGCTTTGGCAAGAATTGTAACCAAACATGATTAACAACAAAAGCACATTACTGGACTTGTGCATACTTTCTTCCATCTATCATAGCCACAACCTTCACCCATTGGACTTCAACATATTCTCACTATTAGCTTAGGCTATGAAGTGGATAAAGGTAGTCAAGAAACCCCTGTGCAATACTTAGGCCTTGTTTGGCAAGGGCTATTTTAGCCTATTTTCGGCTAAAATTCACAAAAAGACAAAATAGGCTAAAATAGCTAATAAGACAAAATGTCACATCAAACCCATAATCATTTCACTTTTTCTCTCACAAATATCACATCCAACTAAAAAAAATCCAACAATCTTTTCAAATACAAAAATTTTAGCCTACTAAAATAGCCAAAAACTAAAATAGCCAACTTCCCAAACAAGGCCTTAATTAATTAATAAGTTTTACACAAAAGTTAAAACTTACTAGATTCTAAACAAATAAATCAACAGACCCATTACGTTAATTCTCTTCAAAAATCCAATCTTGGCATTCATGTGTCCTAGGCCTTGGCCCTCACATCTCTATACAAAACATATAGATTTTCCTGCATCTGCTTTATATATACTTAGTAATGTGAATTCGACATTGTAACTTCCATTTTTTAATATGTTTTGCTTCTAGTCCCACCAAAAATTGCACAAACATCTACACTATCTAAACTATAATATAAAGCACACAACTCACAAGGTTTTGAACCTTTGTAAAAAAATTCCCCCACCCCCAAAAAAAAAAAATACCCATATTGTTAAAATAAATGCTAGCAGTTATCAAATTCAACTCATCTCCATTCATCAAATCACCAAAAAAAAATTGGATGTAAAACTTGCACCCATTTCTAGTTATCAAAATTTCCACACAACAAAATTGAAATACAGCACTATTGAAGTTTTAAAGCAAACACCAATTAATAAGTCAGCTTTACACATATGCAATGTTTAGAAAACACAATCAAACCACATTGCAGGTTCATGGTTACCTTTTAGAATCGCAAGACAACATTGGTCTCATTTTATGATTTGAATAACTCCATCCCTGCATAGAATACATGTATGTATTATAGTGCGTTGAGAAGATTAATTACCAAGCCTAATTATACTTTTTGACTTTTTACGAAAAGATATGTAGAAAAGTAGATAAGTGATATAATCTAAATAAATGCACTTATTTAGTGCATTTCCAAAACAAGTTGTTTTTTGGAGTTATCTTTTGAAAGCATTACTTCAAATTTAAAATAGTATTTTTAAAATATAATTTACAATAAATTGATTGAAATTGTATTTTGAAAATAATATGAGTTTAAAAAAATAGTTCCAAAATTTTGAATTTCAGAAATTTATTTTGAAATCACCTCAGTTTGGTGAGGGAAAAAAAAAAAAGTACTTAATTAATAAATGCTGAAAGGTCAAGTGTATCCCTCATGGGGCAGTTTGCTCAACCATGGCCATCATATGAAGCTGGCATTGGCCTACTTGAGTAAATAAAAACTTCAAAAATATAAAATAGTCATAGATTTAGACACATTTTTTTTTAAAATAAATAAATAAAAAAGAGACAAAATAATTTTTAAATATTCACTATTTTTTATTTATTTTTATTTTTTCTAAACTTCTTTTAAATTTTTTAAAATTTTTCGATTCATCTCGTTGAGAATTTATAACATATAGTTATAACATAAATGTTTTGAAGAAGGGTTAACAAGGTGTGGATGGTGGCTTTTTTGTATCTCTTGCGAGGGAAATCAGAGCACTTTTGAGGATGCTGAGTTGAGAGATTCATAGAATTAAATCGGCTTTTTTGTTTTGTTTTCATTATTGGTTGGAAGGGAAACTTTGTGACACTTTTTTTTTTCTTTTTCTTTTTGTATGCACTTGTGTATACAGGCTGCGCTTGTTTTTTTTTTTTTTCCTTATAATGAAATGACTTATTTACTTTTTCATATATATATATACTAACCTTCTCACAATTTTTTTTTTCTTTTTGATACAACGGAAATAAAGCAAAAACAAGAGGGTTAAACTCTCTCGCTCCCTATCTCAAGCAAGTCTGCAACCAGCAGCTCCCTAATCTCAGCAGGGGGGGTATTGGCCACTAGGATATCTTCCGGTTGTGTAGCTCCCAGCTTGGCAAGAGCATCCGTACAGAGGTTGCCTTCACGATAGACATGTTGAGCAGTGCATTGGCAGCCATTGAAGATGATTCTCGCAGTTTCCACCAGACTGCAGTAAGGGTGTTTGTCGCCAGGGCCTTCTACTAGCACCTTCACAACTTTTTGGGCATCGGTCTCCACTATCACTTTGGTGAAGCCTTTTTGGAGAATGATTGTGAGGCCTTTATACACTACCTATAATTCAATTTCAAGACTAGTACAGCTTTCTATCCTTCCATAGTAACTGCATATCCAAGCTCTCCTCTCATCCCGAATGAGACCTCCAAATCTATTTGGTCCCCTACTCCATTTGCTTCCATTGGTATTTCTCTTTAGAGTACCTGCAGGAGGCAAAGACCATTTTATGAGTCTAAATGGGGGTCTAGGATTAATAATAGATAAGCTAAACGCAAGATCAATTTCAGTGGAGTAATCAAGGATAAACTTGAAGCTCTCAAACTGGGTAACCAATTTCTTTTCAAAGCTTTTAAGGTTCCTGTTTTTCTAGATTTTCCACAGTGTGACCAAGAAGATAGTGCTCCATGCAGATTTGGCGCCAAATTTGGCCTTTGTTTTGGAGTTGGAGAGCAACCAATTACTCCAAGTTTCATCAAGCATCTATAGATACTAATGCTGATTTCGGACAGCAATCCAAACTGCATTGGCTTTGTGGTATGCGCGAAAGACATGGTTAAGGTCTCTATTTTCACTACAAAATGGGCAATAAGAGTTGTCTGATAGCCCTATTTTTAGTCTCATGTTATTAGTAAGAAGTTTGCCATGTAAGATGGTCCACAGAAACCCTTTCAATTTTTGTGGAATTTTCTTTTTCCACAACCACTGCCAATCCTCCTCTTTCCCATCATAATTAGAAGCAATATCAAAAGCATTGGAAGTGGAAAAAGTGGCATCAAGGGACCTTTTCCAAACTAGATGATCCAAGTTGGAATTATATTTAGGGGGTTGCTTTTTGAAAATAGAAGCAACCACCAATGGGGAAAAGATTTGATTAATGATAGCAACATCCCAATCACCTTCCATATTAGTGATATCCCTGACCTTGTAAATAGAAATATTGTGTGTGTGTGGGGGGGTGGGGGGGGAGAAGAAATTGAGGGCATGACTTCCTCAATAGATTTCTCTCTACACCACCAATCTTTCCAAATATCAACAGTAGTGCCATCACCAATGGACCATTTAGCACATCTTTTTAGAATGCTTCTAGATTTCAACATTCCTTTCCATACATGAGAGGATCTACTATTCCTCTTACAGTTCAGAAAAGGTGTGCCTTTCAAATATTTGGCTTTTAAAACCTCAATCCACATACCTTCCTCATTGTTAATGAGTTTCTATCCCAGCTTAGAGAGAAGAGCTAGATTATACTCTCTAGCTTTCCTAATGCCAAGTCCACCGTGTTTCTTCTTTTTGCAAACCTCATTCCAATTGACAAGATGAATTTTCTTTTTCTCTAGGGAATCACCCCAAAGAAAAGTTCTATTCATCTTGTCAATATCATTGCACACTCGTTTGGTAACTCCATACTTTGCATAGAGTAAGAAGGTACAGTAGAGGTAACTGATTGAACAAGAGTAGCTCTTCCTGCCATAGAGAAAACATTCATTTTCCAACCAGCCAATTTAGCCTGAAGGTTTTCAAGGATATAGTTAAAATGGTGCTTGGTCACCCTTTTATTCAAAAGGGGGACACCCAAGTACTTTCCCAGATCATTAGTTAATGGAATGCTACATCTAGCATTGAGGTCTCTAGCCTTGCTCAGATTAAGGTTAGGGGACACAAAAAGTTTAGATTTTTGGAGGTTAATTTTAAGCCCAGAGATGAAACTAAACTCAGTCAAAACATCAATAATAACAGCACAGGTTTTAGTATCAACTTTTGCAAAAAGAAGTAAATCATCAGTAAAAAACGTGTGGGTGATACAAGGTCCTCCTTTAGCAGTAGAGATCCCTTTCCATCTCTTTTTCTCAGCCT